TTCGTTTTCTAAGTACTTGTTTTGAAATGGAAATTATGTACCCTTAAGCACTGTTTTGTAAGAAATAAATGAGTCATTAGTAACACAATAAATAAACCCTACAGTGATTAAGAAGGCGGGCTCTGAGCTGGTCATGGTGGCACACACCTGTGACCCAGCACTAGAGGAGGCTGAGGCAGGAGAATTGCCATGAGTTAGAGGGCAGCCAGGGCTACATAGTGAATCCAAGGCCAGCCTGGCCTACGTAGTGAGACCCTGTGTCAAAAGACAAGAACAAAAACAAAAACCAGGAGTGCAGGCTCTGAAGTCTGAGGTAGCGCACTAAGATTTTATCCTGGCTCTGGAACCAACTAGCTGTGCAAATTAATTAATCTCTCTGAGCTTTCATTCCTTCATTTACAATGGGGGGATGAGGACAGAACTGTTATTTTGAAGCACTCTGCATAGTATTTGTTCAGAGTAAACACTAAATTTTAGCTATTTTTTTAAAGTATTCATTTATACATAATATCCTAAAAGTGAAGATATAATAAAATGAAAATTTTAATTATTTCTTTAGGTTAAAAACTCACACTTTTCTAGAAAAGTGTTACTAATATTTTACTTTAAAATGACAGAATAGGGTTATGGGGCCTGGGTTCAAACCCCAGCACTACAAAAAAATATATATATATAACTAACTTTCCTCTTTGTCTTACTGGTTTTGTAGAAAATAGGTAATTCCTGAGCTTGGTATGGTGGTGTATGCCTGTAATCCAAGCACTTGGGAGGCTGAATCAGGAGAATCACAGAGAGTGCAGGGCCAGCCTGGACTACACAATGAGTTCAAGGCCAGCCTGCACTGCATAGCAAAACTCTGTCTCAAAACACACACACACACACACACACACACACACACGAAAAAAAAACCCCAAATTTAAAGTAATTCTTGGATATGAGACAAATTCAAATATCTGAAAGAGAAATACAGTAAAAACTAAACCTCTTCTCCTTTACCCAAATATCTCAGATCACCTTTCAGAGGCAAACACTTTTGTGAGTTTCTTGTTCATCCATCCCAAAACAGCCTGTGCACATGTAAGTAGCATATATGTTTCCCTGCCTGCATTTGTGTATATGATAGCATGCCATGTTTCCTCCTTTGCATCTTGCTTTTTATAATTTAGCAATATATCTAGGATATTTTCTTTTCTTGATACCTAGTAATCTCATCCTTTTCGTTGCTACATAATATTCCACCCTGTGGATGTATCACCATTTACTTACCCAGCCCCCTATCCTGTGCATTTGGCTGCTTTCTTTTGTTATATATCTTCATGCTCATGTGTAAAGATATGATAGGGAGATTCCTAGATGTAGAACTGTCAAAAAGCATCTGCCTCCAATGAGGGTGGCCTAATCACCTCCCACTGACAATAGTGCCAGGGTCCCTGTCACCATCAGACCACATTAAGCTTTTTGAATTTTTAATCTTATAAGCATCAACTGTATCTCGTTAAACTGCATGTTTGTATTTCTTTTATTAGAGTGAGATTGAGCATCTTTTCATTTATAAATGCAATATTTCCTTCATTGCAAACTGTCCAAAAAGTTTTCCCCTTCTTCTGTTTAATATTTGGTTTCCATAATAACTTATATAAGGTATTTGTATGTTTAGGAGGCTAACCTTGGTCATGGGTATGTGGTATTTTACCTGTTTCGTCATTTGTCATTGATTTTGTTACAGTAGTTTGCCTTACGGAAATGCTTGATTTTTAAATAAGGTTCAATGTTTTAGTGAACAGGAGGCCATTGTGGTTCTCCAGGGAGGAGGTCAGCTGGCTTGGGGTAAATGGAGTCAGTGGGTGTGGAGAAAATTAGCAGGTATGAGGACAGGGATGGCGGATGTCAGATATGATTGCAAGGGGGCGGGTGAGGGAGAGAGGTTGACCCTGTGGCTTTTGACCTGAGTAGCCAGGCGGGCAAATGAGCCAGATTTTGGGAGGAGCCAGTCAGCCTTGCCTGGTTTCATGAAATAATGCTCGTTCAGGTCTGTTGTTCATTCATCATCTACTGAGGTTCTCTCCATCAAAGTGAAAAGCGGAGTCAGACAAGCATTTGGTGCATCTGACAGGATCATTAACGCATTGCGTGTATTCTGAATGATGATTAGACGCCAGGAGCGAACCAAGCACCTGCCCTGGGTGGCCTCACCTTGTGTATGTGTTTGATCTCCTCTGGGTACTTCAGCACACTATGTGTAATAAATGGGGACACACTGACCCATCACAGTGTCTGGGACTAGTTGGACTAGTTTTCCCTGAATTCACAGGGGTTTAACTGATGAGCCAAGTTGGTTTAGCAACTTGGCCTGGTAAACCCATCACAGCAACAACAACAACATCAGACTGGTTTTGTACATAGCAAAGGGCCATGATCTTAGGGCTCAGTTGGTGGAAGCAGAGATGAAGGCTGACTTTTAAGAGACTGAAAATATAAAATTCCACATGGATGATTAATCCATCTCTGCAGCATAATGGATGTTGGCACACAATATGAAAAGCTTCTTATTGAAAGAGAAGAAATGATGTTTTTCTCTTTGAATGATCTCTTCTGGGATTTCAAGCTAATCTTATGAAAATATTTGAAAGTCTGTTTTAATCCCTATCTTTTTCATGTATTCCTTGGACAATAAATTTAGTGCATAGCATTATTGGACATGCATGCCGAAGGCCAGCTAACAATTTGGTTCAATTGCTGAAGTGGATTATCAAGTCTCTTCGCTATCACTTCACCTGATCCCTGGTTGTGCTCGTGAAGTTTATTTTATTTCCTGGCACCCTACAAGATGTGAAGTAAAACTAAGTACAGTCAGCACTCTGTATCCCCAGGGTCTGCATCTGTGGATTCAACCAACCACAGATCCAAAATACTTCATTTTAAATTGCCTCTGAACAAGTACAGAATTTTTTCCTTGTCATTTTCTCCTAGATGATACAATATAGCAACTACTCACACAGCCTTTGCATTGCATTGAGATTTACAGGTCATCTAGAGATGATTTAATGCGTACAGGAGGATGTGCGTAGGTTACATGCAAGATGCCTGCTGTTGAAATGCTATATTTTACACTGGAGAGTAAGAAGTCTGTTAAATCACACATCCTCAAAAGTGCACAGATTAGAGTTGACCCCCACCTTGCAAGTGAGCGTGTAGGATGCACAGGACCAGTTTCAGATGGAAAATCTTGGAGAGCCACCTGGGAAGAGCTGATGCTTCTGCTGGACTCCCAGGGCCCCAAGGAGAGGGGTTTAAATACTTTCTCCACTGTGGAAGCTTTGACAGCTAAAGCTGTGTTTGAAGCATCGCGTGGTCATTGTGTAGCATTTGTTGGTGAAGAAATATGTGAAGTGGGCAAAGGAGGGGGAGGATGTGCCCATGAAGGGGTAGGGGACAGAAGGGACTGCTCAACACCCGATCCCCCTGCTCCCAGCCTCCCTGAGACCTGGTTCTGAGACCGATCTACTTGGCTTAGGAAAATGGAAAAGGGAAAGAGCGTGATGACAGCTGCTGAGAAAATAAGAAGAAACAAAATGACATCTGCTAAGAAAATCAGAAAAAATGATCTGCAAGAAGAAAATTTGTAAAAATCTTTAAAAATAAATGTCTTACCTCTAGAATGAGATTTTAAAAAATACATACAATAAAGCGTGCTCATCTTCAGTGAATAGCACTATGAAAACTGTTCAACATGACTTTGCACGCTCGCTTTCTGGCTTGCTGGATTTCACAACATTTCAAGTGAAGCACTTGGTTTTACAGTCAAGCAAGATGTGTTGGTTTTTTCCAGCGGCTTTAAGCATACTAGCCAGCACACTCTACATTTCTTTATTTCTCCTTTCAGCAGATATTTATTTGGTTTTGTTGTTATTGTTATTTTTAACAAACTCACACTATGCAGCCCAAGCTGGCCTCAAACTCCTAGGCTCAAGTGAGCCTTCTGCCTCTGCCTCCCAAGTGGCCAGGATCACAGGCGGGTGCCACTGTGCCTTACGAAGCAGATACTCACACGGCACCTCCTGGGCCCCAAGTGTTATGCTTGATGCTGAGGACTCAGTGGCACTGAGTGAGCCAGCCCTGGGCTTCAGAGAATCTTCACTCAAGTTCTTGGTAAAGAGGGAAACTGGAAAGCAGAAGGCTTGCAGGTGTAACTAGAAACCAGAGGATAATCAAAAGCGAGGGTCTAGAAATGGATCAAGAGCCTGTGGAACTGAAGCTCAGGAAGAGGCAACTGTTGCAGAGGCTGAGGAATCCAAAACCTGTCTCAGATCTCCCCTTTCAAAGCCGCAGACTTCCTGGCAATTTCCCGCCCATCTTTGTTCATGAGGCCTAACAGCAACCCTGCAAACAGCTCCACCCCTTCCTTACTCCACACATCCAAAGCCAAGTCCTACACAGCTTCCTAAGTGGCTTTCCACCCTGTCTCTTCTTTCCACAGCTTAATGAACAATCTTCCGCTATCCCCACCCAGAACAAGATATCAGACAGCTCTAGCAACCCACCATAATCTTTAAATTTGTGAAAAGAAGATTTTCGCCATTCAGAGAGTAAACAGCATAGTTATTATACTTGCTTTGCTATTGTATTGGTTCTGAGCTGCCAGATGTTCTCAGCTCTGATTGCTCAGATGGCTTTCCTAGCAGTGTCTCAGATGCCAGGAAGGCAGAACAGATACAGGTCTCAAAGGGACCCTAAACCCCTTGCCAGATAATTCAGATCAGCGGGTCCTAGAATGGGAATGTACATGTCATCTGCCCTAGTTGGATGGTGACAACACTAGATTCCATCTTCTGTGCTCCTCTGCATTGTGATCTTGTCACTCTCACATCAAGAGTTGCAGTCATGTTTCCTTCTGCCCAAATCTAGACAGGCTCAGTGACTTGTTTGTCATTTAACTTCCAAGGACAGGTCACAGAAGCCTTGCAGCTTCTACTTGGGAATCTTGGAGCCCTGTCTTTTGGAATGTTCCCTCATTGGACCCAGCTGTCAGGCTGTAAAAAGCCACATGGTGAGGACATGTTTGGGTGCTCTTGTTGACAGACCCAGCTGAGCTCTCAGACAACAGTCAGCTTCAACACCATGTCACGAGAGTGAGCAACCTGGGGTGCTCAGCCCAGACAAATCTTCACTTGACATCTGGCTGCAACTGCATGAGAGACCCTAAGGGAGAAGTTCCCAATTAAACTCAGTCACCCCACAAGATTATTAATGGCTTGCTGTGTATTACGAGATAATTGAAACATCTCCCGCTCTGGATGCAGTAGGAGTCAGGGAAAATAAAAAGAACAAGCACATGTTTAGCATGAGACTTTCTGGAAGAAACAAGCACTATGCATGTAATTGAGGTGGGGAGACAGGGCATTTAAATGATAGAGTCGCAGATGATTCAAGGTAACACGTGACAGAAATAGAGATAGGTAGAGAACAAAAAGATCAGAGGGCGCTGGGAAGATTCCATGGGGAACTGGGCTTGAAGTGGAAGCTAGTAGGGGTGCATACAGGCTGAGAAACATGAGGGATGGGTGCAGCATGGGTAAACAGGTGGTTTTAGAAATGAGCCTAAGTTCAAAGGCCAAACAGACCAATGTGGCTTGAATTTACTCACTTGTGTAGCAGGTGTTACAGTTGGATGGGCCTCAGAGAACAAGAAAAATGGCTTATCAGGAGAAAAGCCAGGGCAAGAATTTACATTGAAGAGCCATTTGTGTTTAGATGAGAGATAAAGCTATGGAAGTGAAGGTCCCCAAAGGGAAGAGCCCCAAGATACCTTTAATTATGTGGGAGGAGTGAATAGTCCTTTAAACACCATTTACTTTTTATAAAATCCAATTTACTCAAAAGCAACCCCACATTGGCTAGAAGGAGGAAGGAGGGCCATTCAAGGAAAACAACTCAAATTATCACCTGTAAGGAGAATGGTGGTGGTAGTGAGTGGTTCCTTCCCAACAAGGAAGACACTTGGGAGTCCCAAGTAATCTAATTGGAGCAAAACCCACTGACACCAGATGGTGAGGACAGGGACAAAGTAGCTGTTTCAGTCACTGGGCAAATCCTATAGGAAAGAAGTTCATTTTGTCTCATGGCTCTGGAGATGGGGAAGTCCCAGGGCCCGGTGCTGGCATTTGCTTGGCTTCTGAGGGTCCTTGTGGTACATCATAATGTGGCAGAAGGGTAGAAGGGTGGGGTCCTGCAAGAGGGAAAACAATGAGAAGATTTGCTTTATAACAACCCATTCTGCAGTTAAGGAACCCATTCCAAGGACGTTAATCCATTCATGAGGGTTCTGCCCCGTCACTAGGCCCCAACTCCCAAAACTGTTGAATTGGGAATGAGCTTTTGAGGGACAACTTCAAGCCATAGCAAAACTTGATGTCTTAAATTCACTTCATCACAAGGCCATGAAATATTTTTCATATTTTTGTTAAGTAAAAGTCATATTTCTAAGTGGCATGGGGAACACAAAGTTGAATGCAATATTGCATTAGAGTTTTTCAGAGAAACACAACTGAAAGGATGTATGTGAATCTGTGAGCATTTACAAAAGGAGAAAGAATTAACTAAATATATATATATATTTACATATGATAGTAAGTTTATTTGTTATAGGAATTAGCTCAGATGATTATGGAGACTGAGAAGTCCTACAATCTACCATTTGAAAGCTGGACAACCAGGAAAGCCTGGTTGTAATTCATTCTGAGTCCAAAGGCTTTTGAGCAAGAAGTGCCAGTGTCTGAAGGAGAAGATGATGATGGCCCAGCTCAGAGGGCAAACTCAGCATCCCTCTGTTATTCTATTCTAGTCAGGCCCTCAACAGATTGGATGATGCCCCCCTACCCCTCTGGGAAGAGCCATCTACTCTACTCAGTTCGTGAATTCAAATGGCACTCTCTTCTAGAAATGCTCTTACAGGCACCCCGAAAATAAGGTTTTATCAGCTCTCTGGGCAGGCCTTATCCCATTTCGCTTGGTGCATAAAGGTAGCCATCACAGATACACACCATTGAGAGAAATCTCTATTCTGTTGGGGATGGGAAGAAGACAATTAGGTAAGTTCCAAATATCTGACATAGGAAGATCAACCAAGAACATGGAGATTCAGGTGGACCAGGAAAACTTCATAGATGAAGAGGCTTTTATCCTGTGCCTAGAAGGATGGGTAGATTTTCAGCTGGTGAATATGAGAGTGGGAGAGGACAGAACCAGAGGAGGGTGAGAACCAAGGGCAGGAGCAGGACTATCCAGTTGGTCAGCAGCAGAAATGGCAGCCAAGGAGTTCTTGGAGGCCATTTTGGAGAGGCCACTTCTAGGTCAGAGCATGGAGATCTCAGACATTGAGAGAAGCACTTTCTCAGTGGTCCAGCCAGTCCAGCGGACAGGGTTCAGGAACTTGCATAGTCATCCCGGATGCTGTGCTCTGTGCACGTGTCCTGAATCTCTATGATTGACAGGTCATGCCCACTGGTTTAACCAGTTTGCCCCACCCTAATCTCCTATCTCAGTCGTGGTAGCAATTTTTATTTTACAGATACTTACACAGTGCTTACTATTGTGCCAGACACTACTCTCGGCCCTTAAAAATATTAACTCATGGAATTATCATAAAAAGCCCTTGTAGAAGGTGCAGGCATTACTGCCACTATGCAGCATGAGCAGTTGGAACCAGAAAGGCTGAGTAAGAAGCTCAAGGTCTTACAGCCACTAAGTGCTGGGGACAGGGTTGGGACTCTGGCACCTGGCTCCAGAGCCCACACTTACGGTTCCCAATGGGGCCTCCTGGGAGTCTGGGGAGGTGAGTGATATCCCCAGGGGTGGGAGGGGGCCAGGAAACCAGACATGAGCTAGAAACAACTGCTTTCCTTTCCTTTCTTCATAGGCAGGTAGGTAGGTCCACTCTTTGACCACCTGTGCTTCTCAAAGCCTAGAAGATTAAGACTTTGTGCCTAGAATCATCCCCCATACTCTATAACTTTATCTCTTCCACCCTTCTCCTTGACCCACCCCAAATCTCTGTTAAAGACCGGTTTGGGCCAGGTATGGTGACAAACATGTCTGGTCCCAAATACTTGGGGGCTGGGCAGGAGGATCACAAGTTCAAGGCCAGGCTAGGCAACTTAGTGAGACCCCTCTGCCTCATAATAAAAAATAAAAATGGAGGGCCGGGGATTTAGCTCAGTGGTTTCTCTGCCTGCTGTATAAGCACAAGGACCCGAGTTTGATCCCCGGTACAAAAAAAAAAATTAGAAAAGTAAAAATGGGCCTGTGATAAAGAGTGATAAAGAGCTTGTCTACATGCACAAGTCCCTGGGTTCAATCCCCAACACTGGGAAAAAAAAAAAAGTTTTAATTCTTTTGGAAAGATACCCAGCAGGGGAATAGCTGGGTCAAATGGGACCAAAGAACATTTTGAAAATGGACTACCCTATTTGAATTAAATATATGATCACTTACAGTGTTTGCTTTGATATGTTTGTTGTTAAAAATACATCTTCTTCTTGTATGGAACTTGTATAACCAAGGCTGCCAGTGCTTGGTATTAGGCTGTCTTCTACCTGCTCATATAGCCAGACATTTTCCTGGCTTCTGCTGTCTTGGTGGGGTCCTGTAGCTGGCCTTGACCAGTGATGTGTGGAGAGAAGTGATATTCTCCTTCGGTTTCTCCGTGTGTCTCTCTTCCCTCATTTGTGGCTTGGATGCAGAGGATCCGTCAAGGTTCTATCTGGAGGATGGAAGGATAAATAGATGGGAGAAGTCTGGGTCCTTGAATAACTCCCCCCTCCCCAACCTATCTTGGATTGTGTCTCTCCTTTTGGTTAAGCCCATGATATTTGAGTGTTGCATATTAAATGTAGCAGCTGCCCATTTTGAATCAAGGGTTCAAAACCCTTAACAAAGAAACTCCTGTTAAAGACATCTAGAAGGCCGTCAAAAAACACCAACAAGCTGGGGATTTAGCTCAGTGGCGCTGCTCTTGCCTTGCAAGCGCAAGGTCCTGAGTTTGATCCCCAGTGTGGGAAAAAAACCCCAAAACACCAGCAACAAGCCTTTTGATATAACACCCATTCATTCTTCCCAAGAGTCATCCATCTTCTCTAAGATATCACCATCTTATCTAAGGCTAAAAACCTTCTATAAGCCAGAGGAAAATGGTCTTGTCAAAACTGCAACCATAAACATATTAGTTTACATGCAATACAGGTGCTTCCCAAAGATTTATCCGGTGGGAAATGACCCAGAAAAAGACACTATTTAGATAATCACATTTGCTGCCTAGACCCTTTTTCCAAATCCTCAAACCCTTATAAAAACTCCAATTTGTCACCTTCACTGTCCCTGATCCCCTTTGCTGCATACCCTGATCTAAATAAACTCTTGTTTTCCCTGATTTAAATTAACTCTTGTTTTTGCTACCTTCCTTGTCTATTGGTAAAATACTTTTTAGCACGTGCATCACTGACCCTCTGTGCACCATTTGTGGGGCATTAAGTAAGTAGTAAGCTTCTGCTGACAAATCCACACCATTCCTTTGGATTTTGGTGACATTGTCAAAGGTGCTATAGGTGACACCTAACCCTGAGTCTGTAAGGCATTGGACGTAACTGTTGCTCTTGGGTTTGTCTAACGCTGGTGTTGTAAACCTTTCTAGTCCCTGGGCAGGCTCCACCCAACTCAATCTCTATCCCACTGCTAATCAGTGTCAACCAGACCAACTGCCTTAGCGAGAAATTTCTGGGAAGGCAATGAACTCTGTTTCTGATAGGAGGCTTGGCAGTCATGGGTTCCCGTTCTACCAGTTGTTACAGCTCAGTCTCTCTGATTGACAGTCACATCTGATAAAGCATAGAATTGGAAATAAGATTAAGGGTTCTGAGTCAACAGTTCTAAGAGGTTACCGCTCTGCTGTTCACAGAGTGCAGTTCATACCTCCACAGCTCTGGTAACAGGCATTGGAGCTTTACTGTCCCCTGAAAAGTGCCCCAGATCTTTCCCACATTGTCTGCGAAGTGTGCTTCCAAGTCATAAGCTATCAGTCCACAATGCTGACCATCAGCAGAGCCTACCCCTCAGTGCCAGAACTTTCCATAACATTACCAGCCCGCAGAGTCCCCAGGGAACGCAGAATCTATTTTCACATCACTCTCAAATTCTCTTTTTTGTGTCCTTAGGGAGAGAAATGCATACATTCCTTCTACTTGTGTTAGGGAATGAGTCAGAGTGCAAACCAGTCATTTCAACACAAGTGACTAAATTCTCACGTATTAAATAAACTCAAACACTCTCACCAGGCTTGGTAAATGAATGAATTTCTTTGGCAGCTCAGACTTGCCAAGTGTGTATTTTTATCAACCTAGCTACAGGGATTTTACTGGCTTAGCAGCAGTGAGAGGAGGGTAGAGGTCTGCATATTGTTGTCTGTGGCTCCTGGACCCAGCACCCTGGAGTAAGGCCCATGTCTGCCAGATAACCTGGTGTGGACAGGCAGGCTGGAATTCTGCAAGTTAGCTGCTGACAGTTGAGATAAATAAGAATGTTTTGTAGTATTTTGCTTTGAGCAAAAATATTTCTGGTGGCATCAAGATTGGAGTGGGCCCAGGGGCATGCATTTTCACTGAGAAGAAACAACTACATAGTCCTGGAAAATCTTGAAACTTGGCTTTGAAACACCTTTGTGTGTCCATTAATTTGAATTACTTGTCACTTTATCAGAACTATCTTTATTTTATGTGAAATACTGAATGATAGATGGCATGGCCTGAAGTTATCTTGGAGATGTTGTAGTTGAATCTCTTCAAATGACAGTCACATACTTAATAATGCATAAAACTGGGAATAAATTCAAAGATTCTGGGTCAAAACTTTAAGAGGCCTCCTGATTTTCTTAAATGTAGATAAATTCATGCTTCTTAGAATTAAATGGATACTAGGAGGACTATGATTGCATATAAAAGAGCTCCATACTCTATGAAGGATTATATTAATTATCATTGCTTATTTTTATTACAAACATTTATTGAGAATCTATGATATGTCAACCACCGGGGATTTAGCTCAGTGGTTCCAGTGCCTGCCTTGCAAGCACAAGGTCCCAAGTTCGATCCCTGGTACCAAAAACAAAAACAAAACAAAAATCCTCTCTATAATATGTCAACCATTTCTCTTAGACATTTAGTTTAATTCTAGTGCTGACTGGATAGATAATACATAATAGTTTTCTAATACAAGGTCAGGAGGGAACTTATGATGCTTTAAAATATTTTATATTGATATAAAACAAAGCAAAATAAGTGATAGAGAGGGAGAAGCGCTGCTATTTTTCACAGTGTGGTCATGGAAGACCTCACTAGGGAGGAGCACTTGAGCCAAAGCCAATGCGATGGGAAGGAGAGAGGTGTGGGACAATGCGAAAGAAGAGTAAAGCTATGAACAATGTGTTCAGCACACAGGTGTTACTTTTGACCATGGACTTGAAGAAGCTCATCTAGACAGAGGCTATTGAGGGAATCTATCTGGACCTGAGAAGAGGGGAACTGCAAGGTCATTCTATCCTTTACCAATACAAAGAGGAAGAAGGCCCATAACTGGGGACCAAGAAGAAGCAATGAGACAGAGAAGGAAAACCCAGAGCATGTGATGTCCACAAAGTCAAGCGATCAAAATATTCCAGGGGACGTGAGCAAGCACATCCACACAGGAACAAATATGATTATGTCTCTGCCTTCTGCAACACATAAGAGCAGTTCTCATTAGGATTAAATACTTCAGTGTGAAGGGGGAAACTTACAAAAACCTTCTGAAGGAACTGTAGGCAAATATTTTTGTGACCTCAATGAATGAAAATGTATCTTTACACTTGATCTTAGCCAAAAGGCCAAGAAGTGATGGAAATGTATCTTTAAAAAGACGAAAATAGCACATACGACAAGGTGGGGGAAACAATACTTTCAAAACTTTATTCATCAAAAACATTTTCAAAATGCAAAAAGAGAAAGCACAAATAGGACAAGGTACAATCACCAGAAGCTATTTAACAATCCAGACTATATGAAGAACTGCTACAAGTTAGTAAAACAAAGATATATAACCCAGTGGAAAAGTCCACAGATGACAAAAATAGGCATTTACCCTTAGAAAAAACATAAATGGCCAAATAAACATATGAAGAGATGTTCAACCTCATTAATAGTTTGGAAAAATGCAAATTTAAATCCTCAAAGAGTAACATTTTACACTCACCAGATTGTCATGAATTTTTAAAAATCTGACGATACCAAGATTGATGAAGACACAGAGTGTGGAAAATATAATTTACTGCTAGTGGGAGGGTAAATTGTTACAACCACTTTGGGGAGCAATATTGGTATTACTTAATAAATGTGAAGATGCACATACCCTCTAGTCCAGCAACCTCCTTCTAGAGAAACTCTTGCCCAAATGTATCAGCAAGCTTGATGAAGAATGATCTTAGCAGCACTGTTTGTAATAGAAAAAAAGGGGAATGTCCTATGTCATCAAGAGAATAAACAAAACAAATAAGTTGTGATGCAGTGTATTATTATAGTAGCCAGTCTCCAAGATGGAGATTCTCAGAAAATGTCCTCACAGATGGACCATGAGGCCTGCCATGTTCCCCAAAAATAAATGTGTTGAAAATTGGGTCAACTGGGCATGGTGGTGCATGCCAGTAATCTCAGCACTTGGGAGGCTGAGGCAGGAGGATTACCATGGTTTCAAGGCCAGCCTGGGCTACATAGTGAGTTCAAGGTCTGCCTGAACTACGTAGTGAGACCCTGTCTCAAAAAAAAAAAAATTGGACTCTCAATTTGAATTTGGGGAAATGAGGCACGACAGGAGATGTTAGGGTCACGAGGGCTCTGTCATTGGGCTGGGTCTGAGGATCCCCAATGCTGATATAAGGAATCTATCCCTCCCTAGTGGGATAAGTACACAGGCTCAGGTTGTGGGAATGAACTTTCAGGACGCGTCAGGAAGAGAAATGAGAAGTGTTTATTAGATAGAGATTTAGGGTGTACTCAAGAGCAGAGTGCAGACACTAGAGAAATGAGATGCATTGTGAGCCAGAGTTGGGTATATTTGAGGGGTGTCTTCAAGATGGGTGACCTGGGATGTGAATTCCTACTGCCTGGTCAGTTACAGTGCAAGCATCTGCATGTGTTTTCAGTTGAGATCTGCTGTCCGAGATACTGCTGCTTCCTTTGGGGTGGAGGAACCATAGTTTAAAGGTGAAAGGGACAGGTCTGAGCCTGAGTTTACTGACTTACTGTCCTTAAGACCTTTAGGAACAATTTTTTTTCTTGAGTGACTTTCCTGGATGGGAAAAATCCTCAAGTAACTTTTGTGTCTTGAAGCTGCAGTTCAGTACAATTTTAAAATCTCGATTTCCTTCTCCCTGTCTACCTAGTTTTTATTTCTTCTATCCTACCTCAGGCTCTATGCTGAAAAATTGATCAATGCTGTTACCTTGGAAATGGATTCATTATCATTGAGGCAGGTTCATCATAAAAGGACAAGTTTGGGTCCCCTCTACCATCCTTCACTTTCCCCTTATACATCCACCATGGGATAACACAGTAGGCAGGCCCCCAGATCTTCAACTTTCTCATATCCAGAACCATGAACCAATGTATTTCTTCATTATAAACTACGCTGTCTGGGGCATTCTGTTACAGTATAATATAGATGGTATAGTTAGGGGCCATAAGACCACTACTTCAGGATAAAGAGGGTTGTAGTTGTGATCAGCAGTGAGAAATACCCTCCAGAGGATCTATCTAAAGTCCCTTGATAGACCTCAGGTGTTCTCATCTTGGGTAGACATATAGCTTTAAGTCTGGAGGAGACAAGGCCAAAGAAACAGTTAAATATACATGGGCCAAATAATAAGATTAGGAAGATTATTATGAATATAATCAACGAATGTTTCCATTAGGAAGAGTCATGGATACCCTTCCACAAAAAGGGTAAGAAGAAGGTCCAGGGAATTTCAGAATCTGAAATATCTGTCATTTAATATCTTGAATGGTCATCAAGATAGCAGAAGTATCAAGGAATGTACATACAACATCCAGGTTACAATTGTACAAATACCCCCTTGTGCTGTTGTTAGAATGTCTAATGCCATCCGATTTTGGAGGGTGGCTTGCCTCATTAATTTCACTTCTTCATTTAGGAAAGAGAGACCAGTTGAGATATCATTTAAGGCCCACTGAGTATAGTTAGTCAAGGCCTCAATGTCTTGCATTACATCCTCTAATCCTAGGGAAGGGATAAAAATAGAAGCCAAATGATCATACCAGTGAAACATACTTCTAGATCATCAATGTCACACTTCTAGATGGGATAAGTTTGCAGGTTCATTGATAATTTTGACACTCCTGCCTTGTAACCACACAAACCCCAGTGCACATATCCCTACCCATCCAGGGAGTAGCCAGGGCCACAAATTGGCTCCACAGGACCAATGAGTGCCTTTGGTGGCTTTCCGTCTATTCCAGGGTGATTAAACCAGTCTGTTACAAACCAGTCTTCAACCTGTAAAGTTATGGTGTATATACATTGCTCAGGGGGTAACCATCCCAAGTATTTAATAGAGTTAGACCAATGAGAATAAAAGTGATTTCTTTGTTCCCAATATAAGGAGCCTTTCTACTAAGCTGTCTTAAAGTTGGAGTTAACCACATAAAATCATCCCATATCTGAAAGTTGCCATCTTGAAATCTATGATTGTTGACTCTCATGATAGGACCTTTACTTTTACTTAACAGGAGTTTACCAGTACCTTTAGAGAGGCTTCAGTGGAATTTTTAGAAAAAATTTGATTATGTCCAGGATCATTAATGGTGCAGTTTATAGGCCACTCAGTTACCTTGTAACAGGGGGCTAAGCTGTGAACCACTGAATGTTTTTGCATCTCATCAATGTAGTCTTATAGCTTATTCCAATCATCTCCCTGAAGTGCAGATACTCACCAAGGAAGTGTTGATGCACTTGACAAGGGGAGCAGGCCACATATCCAGGAATATGTTTGTTGTAATGACTCTGCATATTTCTGTGCCCACACTAAAAAGGAATTGCACTCTCCTTTAAGTGGTAAAGTAATTACTAAAAGGGTTAAGCATAACATCTTAGATTACTTATCTGAAGTCTTTGTTTTCTTTCTCTTTTTTTGGTACCAGGGATCGAACTTGGGACGTTTCGCTTGCAAGGCAGGCAGTGGAACCACTGAGCTAAATCACCAGCCCTTTTGTTTTCTTTTTGAATAAGAATTTTAAATCTTCTATGGGTTCATAGGAGTATTTGGATGGCTTCTCACACTCACCAATAGTTTCTGCTTCCCAGGGCTTGTGTCAAGTGTGGTGTATCCAGGGGTCCAGGCCTGCTACCTTGACAGCTGATGGTGTTGACAGGATCACAGTGCATGATCCTTCCCAAATTGGTCCTAGCGGAGGAGATGATGAGGGAAGAGACTTTACCAGTACTAAATGTCCAGGTTGGAATATGGGATTCCATTTTCTTGAGGTTGAGCTTCTGTTAGCTGTTGAGGAGCCTGTTGGAATTTAACCAGTGAGGTTATATCTTTTAGTAAGGCATCTGCTTCTCTATTGAAGAGAAAATCATTAGTGAGAAAAAGGAGACGGTAAACCATTTCAAATGGACTGAGGCTTAGAATTTGAGGTATATCTCTTACTTTGATAAGAGCTAACTTTAGTAAGTGAGGCCACTGTAGGCGAGTTTCCTGAGCCATTTTGCAAAGATGTCTCTTTAGGGTCTCAATCATTTTCTCTGCCTTTCCCAGTGATTGTTGTCTCCATGCACAATGAAGATAATAGAGAATACCTAGTCCCTGAGAGACTCCCTCTGTGACTGTTGCTTTAAAAGAAGGCCCATTATCACTTTGTAAGCTTTTAAGAAGTCAAGATCTGGGGATTATTTCTGAGACTAAAACCTTTACTACTTCTTGTGTTTTTTCTGTTCTACAAGGAAAGGCCTCAATCCAGTTTGTAAAAGTATCTACCCAGACTAATACTTATTGGAGTCCCTTACTTTTTGGCATATGGGTAAAATTGAGCTCCCAATCTTCTGCAGGGCATTTACCATGTCTCTGTATATCTGGAGGGGCTATGATTTGATAAGAGGATTGTTCTTTTGGCAGAGCTCACATGTCTGTGGTATTGTCTGAGAAAATCCCTTGCCTGTGAATAAATTTAAAGCCATCTGGTGGTGCTTGTCTCTCCCCAAGTAAAAGGTCTGATGTAAAGACTTAATAAGCAAGTGCAGAAAAATATTAAATGGCTCTTTTTTAACATGTAAGGGTTGAACATCCTCCAGTCCTTAAGAATAGATTACAGGGCCAGGGATTTAGCTCAGTGGTTTTGTGCCTGCCTGGCAGGCGCAAGGTGCTGAGTTCAATCCCCTGTACCAAAAAAACCCCAAACAAAACAAAACAAAACAAAACAAATTCCAAAGGAGTAAGAGATTTTGACATTGAGTCTCCCATCTGAAACAAGAGAAAGAATTGGTGTCCCTTTAATTTCTACTCGATTTCTCTATCCTCAAGTCATCCTCCCCTCCCTGAGGTAACCTACTCCAGAGTAGTCTAGCAGGTGTTTCTAAAAGCACAAGCTAGAACTGCTTCCAGCTGTAACGGTCATGTTTAAAGAAGAAAGGATTGCTAACAAAACTAATAATCAAGAGATCTAACGCACCGCTTTCCAATTCTTTGAAAGAGAGTGATGGCAAATTGAAAGTGATGGGAGGACCTCCCAGCCCACAAAATAAATCATCTCTAGAGACAGATAGAGTCAAGTTATCTACCTAATTACCTAGGCAATCTTCCTTAGCAGCAAGACAAGACTACATTTTACTCAAAATCTACCCTAAATTTTCTATGTCTTTGGTTTCTATGTCACAGGTTAAACATATACCCTTAACCTAGCAACCACAATTGACATGTTAGTAAAGGCACATTTCTCAGTTTCCTACATGCACATGAAGAAAAGAAAGGCTGACTAAAACCTCTTTTTCTACTCTTAGCATTTGTGAACCAAAGTATAAATCACTTCTCTGATAGCTATTCTCTGTGAAAGGCAGTTATTCCAAGCTGCCTCAGCCTGTGACCTCCTGTAGAGAGGTGTGGTCTAGTGATAATGTAGCCAGGGAGTTACAGTTAACTCCTAGCACACTGGAATGAAAAAAAAACGTAATGGAGGTTCTTAAATTAGATCTTTGTCCTCACAATCATTTGTCAGGGTATCTAGAGAGTTACTGTCTACCTTACCAGCAGAGAGAGAAAAGTCCAAATCTGTAGCTCAACTCTTAATGGAGGCTTAAGAGAGGGCTCTAACAGTGTCATCTCTGGTCACCCTGGGACTGAGGATACCAGAAGATCACTGAGACAGTTACCTCTCACCTCACTGAGGAGTGCAGGTAGGAATAATGTATAAGTGGAGATTTCTGCTGGCTACCCTGTTGGGCTATTGGAACCCAGCTTCCACTGAGGAAGCTTTGGGTTTCCACCAGAGAGTCTCCCCGGCCAAGACCCCTCAGTTGTCCTCTCAGTTTTCACTGGTTCCACACAACCAGAAATTTGTCTCCAGAAAGAAATCTAGCTGCTTATCTAGTCAACATTCCATTGACTTCAATGGAGATTGGCCAAAAGGTGCTAGACAAACTTGTCCTCTGTGTTAAGAGTGGCAGCTGGGCCAGGGATTTAGCTCAGTGGTTCTGGTGCCTGCCTCACAAGTGCAAGGTCCCAAGTTCGATCCCCAGTACCAAAAAAAAAAAAGAGTGGCAGCTAGTCTAAGAGCATTTAACTAGATGGCAGAGTAACCACTGTTTGTTAGAGTTCTCTAAGGGACAGATAAAAGTCTGAGCTGTCTTCATCTAGGATGATTTTCCTTCTTCGATGTTAACAAATGTTCATTTTCTATAGGCTCAACTTAAAGGTTCATAGTTGTTGGATAAGAGAGAAAGATTGGGGCACTTTAGGGTTCCCCCCTCTTTAATCTTACATGCCTCCAAAAAAGGAAAGTACAAAGTGACAGGAAAAGATCAGAAATGAGATAAGAAAAAAGAAGTCTTTTTTTTTTCATGCTCATGGCGAATTATTGAGACAACTTGCCCATAAGTTGTCACTCTCAGCCTGGAAAGGCAAGAATGGGGAATCTCAAGAGCTAAGGCTGCCTCCTCACCAGTGGAAGATCAGACCAGAAAGGAAGCTAAGGCAGAACAGGTTTGATAGTCCCTCTAGAGTGCAGAAGGGGGATTGGAGCCAGTCTGTCCCAGTACCTCTTAAGAATGGCTGTCAACTTATTGTCTTTTAACTGGCAGTTGGGGTCCCATGATTTATTAATAGGCATGTATGTTTCCTAAAGGTAAACTAGATTTCATAAAAAGACCCAATTTATAGCATTCCATAAATTCACATTTTAGCTAGCATCAAAGTCCACTAGGGAATGGTCTAACATTGCTTTCCCTTAGCTCCATCTAAGATAAGAAAACAAGTTACAACAATCAAAGCAAGAGACAGGTCAAGCAAGTCCAAATGCAGCATATACAAAACAGGAACATAAGACCTTGCCTTCAAAAGTAAAATGTCCCACCAAAGAAATAACATGATCTTTCCATGTTCTCGACTTAATTTTATCATTTCAACAAAATAATGCATATAAGAGATAAGATACAAAATTTAAGGCATAAGCAATTGATGAGCAATGATGACAATTTCTGATTACCTAAATGAGTCACAATCCAGAATTCATGAAACAAAAGCCAACTCTTACCTCCTTCCAATTATCTCACTGAGGCCCTCAAAATGATATAGGAATGATATTAGACCTATAAATGATATAGAGGAAATATTATAACTACCAACCTATCTGTCAGATACACCAAGTTTATGTTCTCCAAATCTGAAGAATGAATTCTATGGTGGAACAACAGAGGTTAAGAGCAGGAAATATTTATTGAGAAAGATAGCTTCTGAGAGGGAGGAAGGGTCCCAAATGGGTTGCTGAGGACCCCACTTTTCAGGGGAAGTTTTATAAAGCATAACCACATGGGTACAACAGGGGTAAAGCTATGATCAACCAATAAGGTTACAAGTATAATCACTTAGGTAATAGTGATACAGTGGGGGAGCAAGGCACACAGCAAGTGTGCATGGAAAGGACAAAGAACTTTTAGGAAGGTGATGGGCCTGAGGGTTTTGGTCACCTACTGAAGTGACTGCTGTCTATCTAGACTTCATTAGACCAGGTGTTACCACTTATCTCACCCCTGGGGAAGGATGTAACCCTGGTCATTCTGTCTTTATCTTGAGGCCTGGCCTCTAACTAATGCGTCTCCAGTCACAGTTGTAGTGTGTTCTCCTCTCTTGCATTGACGCTCTCAAGGGCCCAGCCCTATCTGACTGCCTATAATGTTTCTACCTAACTTACCTGTCTATAATAATGTGACTCAGCACCCTGTCAATCATGATGCGCTGAAAGACCCAATGGCCTGGTGCACATTTTCAAATCCTTAAGCTCAATATATTCCATGCCTGTGTCATTTTCCTGTTCTTCCTGCTCGCTCTGAGAGTACCTTTCCCCTTTAAACTTCATTAAACTTGGCTGCTTTTTCCTTATTGTTGCATGCAATGCCCAATTTGTTTTGGTCATCCCACACAAGAAGCTGGAAACCTACCTGTCCAGGGACCCCACTGCCCACAGGAACAGTAGCAAGGACTAAGACAGGCTACTGAGAAGGCTAGTTACAAAGAATAGCGCTAAGATATGTTTGAAAAGGAGCACAGTGGGCTGGGGATGTAGCTCAGTGGTGCCGCACCTGCCTGGCAAGTGCAAGGTCCTGAATTCGATTCCTGACACACACACAAAAAAGGAGCCAAGTATATCTGAGTTTTAAAAGCATCATCTTCCTAACAGTAGTACAGGTTTGAAATTAAATTGAGAGCCTGAATCTTGTATTTCCATGTTTAATCCTGTACTTTAATCTACTTTGGAAGTAAGTAGCTGGCCTCTTCTATACATCAGAAACCACTACTTTATATAAAGCATTCTACATTCTAAGTCAGTTTGGGGGCATTAGAAATATGTTGCTGATTCTACAGAATGTTAAAAGATTTTCTTATTATAGTCCTCACACTTTGATCTTTTATCTCCATTGGTTCCAATTCATTTGACTAGAACTCATCCCAGTGTCCCAGAGTGAAATAAGGTCAGTCCATGTGAAGTTTTTGCGCTAAAAATGGCAATTTCTATTCTTGCTGCATTTGCTGGTGGGGGTTCCAAGGATGAGGAGCTGTGAGCTTTTTCCCCTTCTTGTTTTTGTGTCATGGGTCAGAAACTGTATCATTTGTCTACTGCTGAGCCAGTGAGAAGAAAGGAAATTGTGAACCGTGTCTGCCACAGCTGCTTCTGGGGATGAAGGGTCATTTCTCAGACCCGGAACAAACCTGGTCCGGTTCCTTCAAAGTGTCCTCTGGTATCTGCTTTTTTTTTTTTTTTTTTAATAGAGAAGAGATAACCATAGATGAGGGCAAAGGTT